GCTGTCGGCGCACATCTTCGGAGCGTACATAGATGTATGAAGCAAACGTACTTCCAACATGATTGAGGTGCGTCCGCAGACATTTCTGTTATTGTGTCTGCAGCAAATGCTGTGTCTTTACGTGCGATGTATGCGAACAGTCTGACTGCGGAGGGCTACCTGCCATATCAAAACAACGTTGCACTCTCCATCCCGAGTGCTACCCCCTTCGTTTCTCTTCGCTTTCTGTCCTAATACGTTCGAATAAAAAAAGAATAATAAAAAAGGACCCATTTTACGTTTAGAAACAGTGCCACGGAGTCCTCCCCTAACACGCTTTTTTATCTCCCAAAACAAACGTTTAAAAACAAGGTAATGTTTAAAAGCGACCTCAGTTACGGACGACGTCGAATTATCTCGAAGGTACTATACTAATGAGACGCGTTGACAATCGGTGCGCGAGACATGGCTGCCTCCGCTCGCGCGCGCGGTCGTCCTCACGCGCTAGGGTCCATTTCGGTTTTCCGTGCTCCCAAGATTAGCCCAGTTCACATACTTTTCTAGGCGTACCGTCCACAAAAACACACACACCAATGCGCATGGCCGACCGGCCTAGGACTCCCGCATCTGCAACTACACACATCGCCGTCGTGTCCTCCGTAGTCGTTAAAGCGGGAACAATAGACGGGCCCCCTTATCTTCTTCGACACCTGCTCTTCTGCTAAGCCGGGGTGGGAGAGCTGGGTGCGCGCGAGAGAAGAAGCTGACTTTCCAGGGGCAGCGTCGTCTGTCTCTCAAAGTGGCCGCTTAGACGCATCGCTGCTCGTCAACGGGATGTAATTGCGGCCCATTATGGCCGGGTTGCCCCTCGGGGGCCATGCGACAGCCAGATGCGTCCGCGAGGACTGCTCCATGTGTTACACGAAGGTCGAGCGGAATTAAATCGTGTCGTAGGACAGGCAGGCGCAGGCTTGTTTACGACGCGCGTTACAAGCAATCAAATCGGATAAGTGGGGTAATGAATTACTCTCGCGGGGTAATTTTCTAAATGCTCTATCGCATATCATCCCTTCGTGGGGTGATCTTACGAGCAATTTAATTATACCTTGGAATGCGATTGAATCTAGCATACGAAATTGTTGGAGAATAGTGCGTCAATATTTACTTAGTTTCTTGAGAGGTTCGTCACGGCAATTCATTAAAATAAAGATAGCTTTTTATATTTTTGAGGTATATATTTAAAAGTTCTTTCGAGTGCACTTTCCACGATGCTTTTTGAACACGTACCTTGCATTTCAGCAGTTCAGCCAATCAGAATGGAAAAGCGGTATCAATCACCATTTCACGAAGTTAAGTAGTGACAAAAAAAAAAAAGGGTGAACGCCAGCTATAAGTGCGAGTTAATATATTACGAACACAAGATTAACCACGCTTAACTGTACACATCATTAAAACTTTATTATGAGTAGGGCTCGGCGTCGATTAAAGATTTTAACCCGATTAATCGGCACCTTTTAGTCGAATTATTAATAAATTAATCAGTTTCGCTGATTTCCATGCATAAGATATTAACAAGGACATATTTAGACATCTTTCCTCTGCTGATTTCTTAGAGCGCAGCTCTTAGGCGCCCGTTTCCGGCTTGAGTGGCGTCGCTGTCGCCGTCGGCGTAGCTGCGCGTTGCATTATGAGACATTTCCAATAATGACGTCACACGTGACGTCACGAGGGCAAAATTTTCCTGGTAAAATTGGCGGAAAATGTTTCCGCTAAGTTTAGCGGGAAAATTATACCCTCGTGACAGAACTCAAGCCGGGAAAGTTTTCCCGCTTAATATAGCGGACAATTCCCCCGCCAAATTTAGCAGGAAAATTTGAACCTCGTTACGTCACACGTGGCGTCGCGTGGGACGTAACACGGCACGTCTTACGCCCTCCTCTCCGTACCCTCCCCTCCTCCTCCTCAAGAGTTGCGCTCTAACTCAGCATTACAGAGAATTGTAAACATCTTTCATTTTTTTACTAAGCGATAAGCGACGCGATGTATATATTTCAGATTTCAACTTTGGTGTGTTCTTGAGAATAGTCCAAGGAGACCTACAGCTTATTTTTTCACTTTTGGATGCAGAGAAGTTGGCTGATATCCTCCGGCAGGAACGAGCTCATTCGATTGTTCACAATAGTCATTGCTGCGTTAAACAGACACTCGCTTGGCGTTGAAGTGACCGTGCACGTGATATATAATCTTCTCGCCTTGCTGCGGGTCGCAAACGTACCCCTACAGCTTACATTACATTTAAATTTACCCTAAAGTTTACGCTTCATATTGGTGTACTCCTCCAGGTTTGTGAAGTTTCTAATACAGAATCAAGTAAAAGTGACGAACGTACGCCGCGTCTCGTCACTCTCAAGGAACGTATCAGTTAAAGTTTAGCCTTGCTCACGCGTTCTCGACCCAATCAACTGCACATGAGGACACTCGTTAAACAAAGGCAGAAGGCGGGAATAACTGTTCAACCAAATTCCTGAGTAAGCTAAAACGAAAAATAAAAAAATAACTTATTTTGCACTTCCGATCCTGTTGGACTAATCCTCTCCTGTCACTGCGCGCAGTTTCTACTATTGTATAGGTTTTCAGTTTTCGGAGGGTTCCCGGCGATTTTCTTCGAGGGCATGGAAGACGTTCGGCGCGAGCCGAGGAAATGCCACGCCGGGCCCTGCGGCTGTCGACACCCTGCTAACCATGCAGACGCCGTCCTCTCCCTTTGTGTCCTCGGTAGTTTGAAGGGAAACTCAGTCTTCGGAATGTCCACAATTGGTCCCGTGTATATATCCAGTCAATTGCCCAGCTAAGCCGCCTGGCTTTTCTGTCGAACCGCCGCCACTGAACGACGCGACGCGCGGTTCGCCCGTCCACTTTGGGAGGAATGAAAACGTCGCTGATGACCAATTTGGTGAGTTTATGTACATAATATCCATCACCAAATTCACTTGACTACTCCAGGACTCGCTTAAACTCTGTATTTTTTGTTTTGCGATTTAAGTTTTTTATTTGAGGAAAGCGTAGTATTTTATTCTTGTTCTGTTTTGGTTCCTCACAATTCAACCGATTAACCGGTTAAAAAAATGATCGCGATTCAAGCATTTATCGATTAATCGGAAGGTTAATCGATCAATTGCCCAGCCCTAATTATGAGGTAATTGTTAGACGTCCGTCCTTTTATTTAGAGTACAAGGTTATTTATCACTTTAAATCGTGAGGAAAGCAACCACAAAGTGTTATCGCCTTTCTCGCAGACGAAATGCAGCCATGCAAATTATGATTATTATATTAGCGGCTTGGGCATCGACTGGAATAGCGCGGTCATGCCTGTAAGCATATACAATAATCTTGTGCACGTCTTAAAATTAATTGCATTCATGGTTTAAAGAGTCACCATCTTCGTTCAACGAGGCCAACTTCCAAGACAGTGCTCAAGTATTGGAGTTTGCATTTCCTACTGGTTAAATCAACTTTAATTTAATTTTACCTGCATAGGGTTAATGGACGATGTTGAGGGTGCAAACAAGTTAATAATTGCCCTTCTCATTATTGTGCTGCCCTATCAAAAGCGAACAGTTAATTTCACCAAGACATCGATTGCAAAGGCGAACCAAGTTATGATAAAGAGATAAGGGTTACACGAGGCTGAGCGTATACCGCTGGACTGCAAGTATACGTACACCAAAAGACTACTTCCCAGCGTTCCCCCCCAACGGATTTTATACAAAGACAATCGTCGAGAAACAAATAAAATAGATATCGCTCACTCAAGTCAACGGGAGGAGCACGAGGTTTATTGTATACAGAAAACGATGATGAGAACCATAACAAACGCAATAACTCATGTCAACGTCATCAAATAACTATAACTCAGTGAATGAAAAGCATGGGGTCGATGAGCCTGAGAAACGTGTTGCCAGTGGCAGTCTGTCAATTCTGGGACTTGTTTGATCGACTAAAGCAGTGAATTCGGCAAACCGGCCACGTCTTAATGAACGGAATTGCTGTTCCAGAAGGCACTGAACTTTGTTGTCTCCCTTTTTCAGTGGGCACGGAGTCTAACTACACTCTATAGATGAAGCAACCAGATTTTGCTTGACCAGATGATATACGCGTTGCGTGTGACCATGAAATCTGGTGTTTATTTGGCCCTCAATAAAGTTATTTCTCTCTCTCTCTCTCTCTATCTCCATTCATTTGTTTATTCCCAGTACAGCAGCTGTAAAACAAACTGCGTACTTTTGCTTACTCAGCAACGGAATTTCACGACCAGACTGACGGCGTATCCAGCGGTCAACACCTAAACCCATACCAAAAAGGTATACTCCCGCTTACTCCCGGCGTTGAAACTAACACCACCTAGCGGTCAAAACACGAGGCTCTAAAAGGGGATTGCGACTATACCGTCCGCTGGTTGGTCGTCAGATGTACTTTCATGCATACACTGGTATCCTGACAACTCGGGAAGATACATTCAGTCGAAGCTGGTACGATGAGCATGAAAAGGAAAGCATATCCCAAAAGCCAAAGGCGGTTTAGGCAAAGAGACAAATTATTCCGTTAAAACAACCGTAGCTCTCCAATGACTCGCTATGCTTATGTTTGTTTATATAGTGGGAAATTACAGTGAGCCCTGGGTGTCTCCCCCGCACATGATAAATTTAGCCAGCGCAGTGACCTGGGGTCTTTAACGTGGGTCACGCAGTATACTGATACAAGTCCATACGCCTGGACGATGTTCACCCGGATCGAAACGGGCAAGGAGGTGGACCGAGCCCAGGATCCATTGTGGTTTCTGCAGCGAGAGCTTTCGCACCACGTGCTACGAGCTGCTGTGCGTTGACGCACCGAACGGGATTCAAAGAAGCACTGTTGCGTGCATTTCGAGAAAATCTAAAAGTTCGGCTTCATATCCTACGCGCAGTATCCTCCTCGCCCTCTTTCTCGTGCATCGCGCCGCAGCCCCCAGAAAGACGTACCTTGTCCGTCGTCCCGGTCCGAGTGCCTCGAGTAGCTGTCAGCGGGACTCAGCGGCCTGGGCAGGTGGTGAGCCAAGGGGTGAAGCGGGTGATGTCCGAACGGGATCCCAGCCGCCGCCAAACCCGCAGCCGCGGCCGCGGCCGCGGCCGCAGCGCCGGGACCGGTCGGCTCGCTCAAAATGTCCCGTATGAGAAAGGACGGAGGCGCCGGACCGCCGGGCATCGCGTCGTCGTGCTGCGATCGCGAGCACTTGGACTGCTGTCCCGGCGAAAGGTCCACCGTCATCGAGCCCAGCGTCGTGGTCGTGGTCGTAGCTGAGCCTAAAACGAAACCACTCGTCGACACCGTCACGCGGTGGAAGAGAGCACACCGGGGCCGTTGTCTCGTGGCCGTCCGTCGAACACGCGCGAGGGCACGGACAAGTTTGCCGAGCGGACTGAGGGAGCGGCGCGAGGCGCACCGCCTTCCACGTGGGAGGGACTCCCGGCTCCGCCCTCCGCGCTGACGTCAGCTAGGTGCGAACCAATAGAAATTGGGCTTTTAAAAAGCGGCATAGAAAAAGATTAAAGGGAACGAAGAGGTGAGGTGGGGGAGAAGCGAGCTCTGCGCGCGCGTTCGGTCTTGGTTCACGCTTCTGCGAGAAATAAGCGGTTCGTTTTCGGTGATTAGGGAAGCGACGATGGCAAAACAAATCAAAACCAAAAAAAAAAAAGCGTTATAGATGAGAAGAAAATAAAAAGTAGCGGCAGATTTCGTCTTTCTTTTTCTTTTTTTATGCACGTGGACAGTCGTCGTTGCCGCCAGTCGACGGCACTTCGAGCGGAGGCGAGGAATAGGCTGGCACAGAGCGAAGTGATGACACTGAACTTATTAAAATTTATCAAGCAGCCACGCTTTTCGCGCGACTCCTGAACTGCGCTCGCGCTGGCTTTTATGCCTCGGGCGTCTCGCGTCGTAATGCGCGGAGCTTTTGTTTTAACTGCATTTATCGGGACACGCTTTTTTGAGGAGCCTCGCGGCGCGGCGAGGCTCACGCGAATGTTGGATGTTTGCTCGGGCGGCGGCGGCAGCGGCGAGCGCTTTTGTCTAATGAGCGAAGCTGGCGAGAGTGAAATATACTCTCGCTTTTAAACGACCAGTTTAAGACGGTGGCGGTTCTGCTCTCTTAATTAGTCGACTGGGGAGGAGAGTACATGGGGGAAGGAGGCGCAGGCAGATGATAGTCTGCTTTCCAGGCGAGACGCTTTTGTTTGAAGACGCTCCGTCGTGTTGTGGGTTTTAACGGGACAGTGTTGAAGTCTTGGGCGTGCCCCATAGAAAGGCGCGTGAGTAATGGTTCTATTCGCCGCGTTTTTGAGGATGGGTGCCGCCAGGCCGTTTCACGACTTTTGGCGCACGCCTTTCGCTTTTGGTTTGTACTTTCCGGGGAAGTGCACGAGTGTTTGTGGAGGAGAAAAAGAGGGGGGGGGGGGGGGGGGGGGGAGGGAAGCGTTGAGTCAAGAAAAGACGTAATTAATTACGCGGTTTGTTACCAGTGTCGGAATTAACATTTGGTCTAGGCGGGTGTTTGGAAAACATCTGTCCGTTTTGAACACTTTATTTTTTATAGCCGGCACAATGTATAAAATATAAATAAACTAAGTGACGAAAGAGCGCTCACTTAATGTTTCGGTCATATTGTCTCACAATTTAACATCTCAATTATGCTCACCGGATTAAAAGCTTGGCCTCCAATACTGCGCAAACTGAACATAAACAGGCCCATAAGCAATGATTCGTTGTTTTGAATACGTGAACGCGTAAAATATATGATAATAGTGTGGCTAATCGTACCTATATCTACCACATATGACCGGTACCTACAGGCAAATGAAAGTAGCAGACGACACAAACTTGACACGACCAAATACAAAATATGTTCATTCGGATCGTGGCAGTGGAAGCCTTCATGTGAAAGAAAAAACATCACATCTTAAAACCAAGATCAACTATTTACCTTGGGAGCACGTGACAAAGCATCACATTTGGGGTTTACAAAGAGATATGCATGAATGGACATCATTAGTAGGAAGGGAAGCTATACAATATAGTCCGCGCGGAACCGACGCCGCGTAGCGGCAATACCGACAAACTTTGGAAGGAATTGTTATTTTACCGTGATCATCTCCTTTCGCTGCATGGTTCTAGAAACAACACAGCTTCATCTGCTTGTTTATCAAGATTGACAAAATAATCAAAATTCAGCAGGGCCACAAAAAAAAAAAAAAAAAAAGGGGGGGGGGGAATTCACAATGGCCTCGATACAACTTAGTGGTGTGCAATTTATTTTGTCCGCCAGATGAAAAACAACCTTCTCTCACGGCACCATCTTCCCGTCCGAAACTCGTGGTGAAAACAATCCACAAGAGTAGACTTATACAATGAAGAGCGCCACAAAATTCGCCTCGGAAAAATAGAAACTTAGATAAAAGCTTAGAAACTGTCTGCATCAGGCATGTAGCCAGGGGGGGAAACCCATGGGGCCCGCCCCCCCCCCCCCCCCCCAACCCCCAAAATCTTCTTGTTGCATGGGTCCTCCTCTCCCTATCCCCTTCATACAGAATTTTGTCATGGGTGCCCCCCCCCCCCCCCCCCTGAAACGAAATCCTGGCTACGTGCCTGGTCTGCATTATATTGGTTAATTAAACAATTAATAGAAGAACCCTAGCCGTTCAACACGTTAGCCAGAATGTTTTCCTGCTTTTTAGTTTTCCCGTTTTTGACCTCTAAAGAACCAAAGACGGATTTCGGTAATTGAGCGATCGTCACGAGTCGCGTGTTTGGAAGCTTCTGCAGGCTTGGATACCTTCTGCGCAACAAAGAAACTATTTACCTGACTTTTTAAACAGCATTCAATGCGAAAACTATTCATCGTTTCTTTTTTTTTTTTTTTTTTTAATATAGAGTCTGTTTTTTTCGACGATAAGTTACCAGGTTTGGATGGTGATAACGTTTCTAACAATCAGTTTTATGGCATAAATTATATATAAAATTAAAGCTTAAACAAACCCTTATTCAACAAGCATAATACTGTTATAGGGTGATTTCAGATAAGATCGACGAAAGGATGGCTAGTCGACATTTTCAAATCAACTGATGTTTTTATATGTTATTGTCTAGTGTCTGGTATGAACGCATCCAAACTTAGTTTTGACTAGAAAAAATACTTGGGGACAGGAAAAATCGTAAGGCATGAGGTGGTGGACAGTTGCATTAACGCGCACTGATGGAGGGGGCCCGTTTGAGAGTGAATAACTAAAGCGATAACATTAGGAGAACTCTAATACGTTTTAGGCGCAAACTATGGGTATAGCTTGCTTGTAATATAAAGTAATCATATTTATTTAAAATTTATTTATTTTTCTAAAAATTGACAAACATGCCTGCTCGAACGGCAAATGGCAAACTTTGGAGGTCTGTATCTCATGAAATAATTTAATCATTATGATATAATTTGCAGATATTATTATACTAATATATAGCTAATATTTAAAAAAATAACTAAGGTATCTGTGTGATACAATAGTTAGGATATATTTAGTCAAACATAGAAAAAAAATCAAACAAAGAAAAATTCCGATGCGAATAAAAAAAAAAAACACCACCCTCGATTTTTTTTAAATTTAGGTAACCTGTTATACCCTATTTCGGCATTCATTTCCATTAAAACATGTTGCATCCTTTTATTGAGAAAGAAGATACAACTCCCCAAAGTAGGGTCCTTTTTCAAAGCCTACACTTAGCAGTGTTTTATACAAGAACTGACTCTGAGTTCCAGTTTCATGAAACCAACACACATCTTTTATATATTTTTATTCAGATGAGGCCAATGATAACTAAAGAAATCGTTCACACACTTAAATTAAGGAGAAACTACTGTGTACAAAGAGGTATCATATTACGGACTAGTGATCCGAGAAAAGATCATGCAGCCATCGGCCACTAGGAACTTTGTTTACTTTATTCTCCTGCGACACTATATGCTATTCCCTCTTCCGCTCTACCTTCATCTCTCTCTCTCTCTCTCTCATATATATCCCTGATATATATCCAGAACAAAAACATGTTCAAGCATTCCCTTTCTGCGTGGTAGTGTTCTGTGGCTAGCAAAAATCCTTTCCTCGCTAAGCTCACGATTATGGCAAAATAGTTGCCGGAAACCGCAGACGACACTCGTCGCTAGTTCTGGCAAAACGGCCGATACAATCTTTTTTTCGCATTTCCCCGCTCGCTGTCAAGGACAAGGGGGTTCGCTTCAACCAGCAAAACATGGCCGCCGACGCCTGTTTACTGAGCAGTCATGCCTGTCGCCATCTCACTCGCTGGCGTCACGGGCGATAATATCAGGCACAAAGGGGCACACCAACCGGCAGCATTATCCCCAAATACTCGAGCCTCGCGTAAATACATAGAGTGTAAACGCTGTCGCCATGTTATCGTAGTAAGACCACCCCCCCCCCCCTCCCCCAACGGGGGACTGCAGTACGCGACGGCGTACTAACACAACGGCGACGATATCGACATTGCGGGCTCCGAAGTTTCCCATAGTTCTATTCCACGGGCATTTCTCGAAACGCTTGATATTGTACGCCCGCCTGGAAGCATTTCAGGCGCGTAGTTAAGATAAGGCGGTTCTCCGCGGCAAAAGAAAGCAATTTCACAAAAGCTTAAAAGCGGCGGCGACGCGTGTGCGGTGAACGCTTGTAGTTTTGGTGTAGACAGGGTGTGCGTGTTCTCGTTGTTGACACCAGCCGGCGATAAGGCACTGCAGGCGGTAGCTCAGTACAGCAAGGGCTAATCCGAGTGACCATCAACGTAACCCCACCGCCAACCCCTCGCGAACCGGTCGCCGACATGGCTCAGGCTGTGTCATGAACCACCTGGTAGAAGCTCGGCTGCTTTCATATCAGCGCGTGGAGGGACGACAGTGCGATTCCGGAAAGTCTTTTTCGAAGGCCGCTGACCACAATCTTTTGTCTGGAGACTTTCCCTCTTTCTTCCTTTGACGTGGATCAAGCTTTGCCGACAGCCTCAGTTGTGACCTCTCTTTTCAAATGTACGTTTGCAGTGAGTGAGCTCCTCAGCCTCGGACTTGTCACTTGTGCACCCAGTAGTTCTTTCACTTGGCGATTATATGCCATTAGTTGGGGTTTAATTTCTATTATTTATGTATACATTATGAACACGTCCTGGAGCTCCGAACGAGTGTTTTGTGCAGATTACTTTTGCAAACACGAAAAGACTATACCAAAGCAGCGGAATTTTCGAAGTGTTGGCGAGTTGGACCTAAACTCGTTGAAGCGAATTCTTCCGCCTGACTGTTCCACCAAAGTGAGTGCGACGGACTACCTGTGCTACCATTTCTTCATGCACATCA